TATTAGTTCGGTAATCGTACCTATAGATACATGTAGATAATTCAATGGATATCGTAAAGGATACGTTGTTACTTCAGTATCCATGCCTCAAATAATTCCCTTAGATACTGGACACGAACTCGGTGACAGAAACTTTCAATCTGAAGAGAAATAACTACAAGCTGTGTGTACTGAGAACAACGTAGCATTATACGTCATTCAGTAGATTAAAACTTTGTCTTTCTGTTGGTTATAAATAATATAAGACGTCAGAGAGAGTTATTTGCAATTTGTGAATGAGAGGATGTGACAGGTGAGTGGGTGTGATTTCCTAGTTTATGTCACCCTAAACAAAGAAGATAGAAGACTATAGAAATTAGACTCTGCCTTAGTTTGAATTTCGCGCAAAGCTACACGAGGGTTATCTGCGCTAGCCGTTCCTAATCTAACAGTGAAAGACTAGAGGGAAGGCAGCCAGTCATCACCACCCACCGCCAACTCTTGGACTACTCTTTTATCAACGAATAGTGGGATAGACCGTCACATTATAATGCCCCCACGGCTGAAAGGGCGAGCATGTTTGGTGGAACAGGGATTCGAACCCGCGACCCTCCAATTGCTTAGGACGTTAGGTCAGTGAGAGGTGATGAAAAAATAAATGATGGGCAAAGAATGGGCTAACATACGTCAGGATTTTCATACAAAGAGAGATTGAGGATTTATTTAAATATTTCCTTTGAAAATTAAGAATTTAAACTCATATTAACATTTGATTTATTAACCACGTTTATATGTTATGTGTATTTGTATACATTTATAATAAATTATTTTAATTAAATTTTGAATGTAACTCTTTTTAAAATGTCATGATATGCACATTTTGACCTACCTGTCGTGAGAGAGTTAAGTTAGTGGTTATTGTCAACGATATATACACGCATAATTGAAATTATAGCTAGGATATAGCTTAAAGGATATTTGTTATCCAGTGACTATGGCTGAGAGGATATATAATAATGCATGTACGCAGGGAGCTTCCAGTAGGTTTTACCGAACCCTTATTTTTTGTGATGTAAACCAATTATGTTTATAAAGTTATAGCGTAACTGCTTATAGTATGTAACGTTTTCTTTATACTCTACATTCTTCTGAGAAAGCATTAGCATTTCTTGGCTTGAAATAGTCGCATGCAATGGTATCTGTTGGCACTGTAGTTAGAAATCCGAAGCCGTATTGCTACTGTCAGGTTTCGTAGGCCGGATTCTTTACAGTAGGTGTCTGTAACTTGTTGGCGATAAATTTCAACAATAAACAAACAGCACACAGTCCACAGGTTTTAAAATAATGTATTAAAACAAGTCAAATGTATATACAAATGTTCGTTACACTGTTGGTTATCGTATTTGTATCCATAGCTATAACTAATTGCCTTTTTTTTGTTGCTAAAGTCCACACAGGCTGGTTCAATTACTTTAGAACACAATTCACAAGACGAACTATTCTTCTCTGCTCTGTTATTACAATACAGTCTGTGACAATTTCACTTTAAAAAATCACCACTATACACTCTTCATTGCTAAACTCACAATCACGCAGTCTATATCTAAATAATAATCTTTCGACGCGTATTTATACCCTGACAGAAGTCTAGAACATTCCATGCAATACTAGATATTGTGATGCAATAATACTCAATTAAAACAACAAGAAAAACTCAGAAAGTTCTAGTAACATGGCGCTACAATATAGCAATCGCTAACTCATAACAAATGAACGTACACGCTACACGACTTATAATTCGTAATCCATTACGTAAACACACTTTCCATAAACTCTCCCTTCTAAAAATAACTAAATATGACACCTGCACTATATAAACTATCCAAATCACAATGCTCCCATTAAACTTAAACAGTCGTGTATATCTAACAGCTACACGTGATTTTGGGCACAAACTACGTCGTATTACGAAAACAGAACTATTAAGGGATTGTGAGTTTGAGATTTAAGCATTTTTGTAAGTTTTTGTTTTCGTACAAGGAGAGAGCTGAGAACTGTACTAACCTTAAATACATTTGAAAATTATGCGCTATACGAGAAAGAGTCTGGCTCGTGAGACCACACAGTATACGATATATGCTAGACACTTCTTACTAAACAGAATGAAGAGCCTACTGATTACAGCGATATACGAATGGTTTTTGCCAGCAAAAGAAAAAGGATTGGCGTATGAAGACCAAGGTGCAGTATTATGAAGCTTTGTTGCTTTACTTGTACGTAGTTGTTTAAATTAGACATATAATTTAACAATTAATAACTACTCTACATGTAGATAGTACAGTACTTTACTATAAAAAAAAACATACGTATTTATACTAATTTAAGTCTAGCTCGCCATGCAGTGTTAAGACAGAATGATGATTTGCTGATTTTTCATTGGATGTTTGTGGATTTTATGTGAACAACCATGTAATTGTTTAAGCTACAGTTCATGTAAAATTGCTTCTAGATTTAATCTCATAGCACCTATTTTTTTAAACCTTCTGGGAGAGAGCATGTACCCATACCCCGTAGCATTAGCATGCTGATTGTGCTTCGCACAGTATGTGTTAGCTATTGATCTCACAAATTATAACTCCCCTTTCCAACATTCTGCGTACAGGCCTGATTATGAAAACACATAATCGGCATACATACAGCAGTCACAAACAATGAGTAACAGCAATTAGATGGTTAATATATTAACGGTACGAAACGTTATCCTAGAAAGTCCATAAAAAAAGCGATTTTGCATGTGAGCTTCTACTTTACATACGCTATTAAACCTTATTTTCATGTTACTATACAGCTTATCCATGTACTATAGTAGAAAATAGTTCCAAATATTCTGTATTACTAGTTACAATCCAACCAAGTTGTTTGTCGTCTTTTGAATTTACCAGTTTTTACTAAAGCCCATACAGACTCAAGAATTTTCATATCGGGAAGTTGTGTAGGCCAAACCATAGTTGTACATGTTCCACAGTCTCTTCACTGTCAAGATATCATTTCACCACGTTTGCTAGATGTTTATGATCATTGTTTTCTGGAAGACGAATTCCCACCCGATGAGTCGAGCATGATGAATCTGAATCTGCCGCTACCTGTCAGCAGTCAGAATGCCATCAATTTTCTGTAGATTCACCGACCAACACTGTTGGCTGAGATGCAGCCCCAAACGTATACTGACCACCATCTGTGGATGTTGTTCATTGACTATGTTACCGTTCTATTTTCTGCAGTGGAATAATGTTTCGTTGATTGTAACCAAACAATTCGAATTGCGAGTCATTTGTAAAGAGCACACTTCTCGGGTTTACTCATTTCACTATTTGTGGTCCGATGCCCGTTTCATCTTTGGGATTGAATATCTCTTTTTTCCAGTAGTGGTTTTTGAGCAGCTACACGTCCAGTGAGAGCACTTTGTGCTGATGAGTACCTTACTGTTCTCAAGGTAACATTCACATTTGTATTTATAGCAAGGTTGTTGACGATTGTCAACTATCTCCAAAAACCATACACTGAGATATTTCACATGACTTATGGAGAGTTTCGATTTTATATATATATTGACGTATTTTCAATAGTGCCAGTTTCACATACCCTATTCAGAGTCGTTCATATCTACTGCTGAAACATGAAGTCTTGCCGCAACTTTTCGCATGGAGTATCTTTGACCAGCTTAAACTTATTTTTTCACAATCGTCATACGGTTTTCAGCTCTGGGAACCATTAAAGGATTCACACTACTACTAATACTAGACGTAGTATGATCAATCTTACTTTTATAGACTTTATATTGGTGTCACACGTTATGATTTGTTATATGACAACCACTAATAAACATTAAACTATAAACAAATGAATATACTCTGGTGCAGATCATTTTCACATTATAAGAGGTGAGATTCCAAGAGTATTTGAAAGTACATGTTAATTCAGTGGTTGTGACTAAGGATATACCTACAGATAGATATGTAGTTAGCTAAGTGGTAATAATAAAGGACACGTTAATTCAGTATTTGTGACTAAGGATATACATACAGATAGATATGTAGTTAGCTATGTGATCATCAGAAAGGGAATGTTAATTCAGTATTTGTGACTAAGGATATACATACAGATAGATATGTAGTTAGCTATGTGTTCATCCTAAAGGACACGTTAATTCAGTATTTGTGACTAAGGATATACATACAGATAGATATGTAGTTAGCTAAGTGGTCATCAGAAAGGGAATGTTAATTCAGTATTTGTGACTAAGGATATACATACAGATAGATATGTAGTTAGCTAAGTGGTCATCCTAAAGGACACGTTAATTCAGTATTTGTGACTAAGGATATACATACAGATAGCTATGTAGTTAGCTAAGTGGAGTGTTAATTCAGTAGTCATGACTAAAGATGGACATTAATGTTTATTTAGTTCAGTGGTTATCTTAAGAGTATGTCGTTAATTCATTGATCATGCTTATTTGAAGGTGTGTCTAATTCTGTGGTCATTGTATGGATTATCTCGTTAATTCAATGGCCATGTGTACTGTCATGGTTTTTATTTAAGGACATGTAGTTTATTAAGTGGTCAATGTTATGGATATAAGGCGTATTTAGTAGCCACAACTATGAACTCAAAGTTCGTTCTTTAATCATTGCTATGGATATAGAGCTCAGTAGTCAAAATCACAGACTTGTCGCTCATGCAATAACCAAGATTATTGATAATTCATTCATTCATTGGTTAGCACTATTATTAAATTGTAGTTTACCGAGAAAGTGAGATTATATATATATATAGCTTATATATTGGTCAATTCGTTTTTTTTTGTTTGTTTTTTATTAAGCACAAAGCTATAAACTGGGCCATCTGTGCTGTGCCCACTGCGGTTATCGAAACATGGGCCCAAACTATGTAATTGTAACTGATTTAATGGTCAATGATGGGTTTAAAAATTTTAAAGAAAAATATAACCATAGGCCAGCTCAGTTTTTAGTATAAAAAACTTGATATTTATTGATGTATTTGAAACTATATGTACTTAAACAAACAATATACTCTATACTGTATTTAACGGCAGGGGCGATAGGTTCCCTTCTGTCACGTGATCCACAACGTAAGAAACTTCAATAATTCTTTTGAACCGTACTAGGACAATATCCAACTTCATAAGTGTCCAATCTTATGGGAACATTTCTAAGAATATTAATAGACTCTCCGCTAGAAAAGAAAACAACAGCAGAAATAAGTTATAAAATAAAATAATCTGAAAACATCCTCATGTAATAAAATAAATTGATAAGAGAATAAAATATGTTCAATAGTGGTAAAAATTTGTCAAAGGTTTGTCATGTTTTTTCTCCTTTTCTTGCGTAAGATATTGGGATTTTTTTAATAACCTATCAAACTTTTATTTTGCTAAATTTTATTTGTTTGAATTTATGCACAAAGCTACACAATGGGCTATCTGTGCTCTGCCCACCACGGGTATCGAAACCCGGTTTCTAGCGTTGTAAGTCCACAGACATACCGCTGTGCTACTGAGGGGCATTTCGCTAAAACCAAATAAATAATTCAGCACATCTTTGACTCGTTAGAAAGAAACTATTTTCTTTAAAAGTTTTTTTTTTTGTTTTAGCGCAGTGGGCTATCGCAGGGAATTAAACCCCGGATTTTGTGTTGCCATAAGCTTACCGCTGATCCACCAAGGAACTTCTTTAATAGTAAAATACAAAATTTAATACAGAGAGAATGTGAGAAATATTTTGTCAAAGCTGTTTTCCGGTTATTCTTTTTTTTCAGCACCGGATACTAATAATGCTATATACATGTAATATAACCAAGTGTGAATCATATGGTATTGGTAAAGGCATTGTTTGCGACACATGGGCTAAGCCCCAGGACAAAGATCTCAAGGCTCAGGCATAGTGATTCCTCATTTATAACTGCTGACTAGATGGTAGACAACCAGTCGGCAGCATCCGCTGCCTCCCACGTGGGAAATACGGATAGTGATAAACAGCAAATCGCAACACGAGCCTTGCCTCCCCTCCCACCCGATCCACAGAATCGAGAATTACATAATACTTCTACATAAAAAAAAGGAACTTACCTAAAGCGTCATCTTTAGTCCATTTTTTCTGAAAATATTCTGCGGCAGGCTCCTTAGGTACTTTATTTTCCTTTATTTTCTTAATCTTGTCACTGTACATAGTCTTGGCTGTCTGCGCCCATGTCAGTAACAGGTTACGTCTAGCTAGGTCAAAAGTCTCGTCACTACTTAGGTCCTCAGGCTGCAACAAACCTTTCACTCGCTGGGCCATCTGTACAAAATATATATGATCTGTGTGTATGTCTAGTATAGAAATGGTTCGTTGCCAGTTTAACGATAAATTATTCAGTGTTTTATAGATATTTTCTGACGTCTTTAGATGTCACGCTCATATGTAAAAGTCTAAAACATTTCGATAAATCAATTAAATGCTGTATCGGTTTATTCTATCTGGATTTTCTACTTACTCTGAAAACTTCATTAGTGAGGTAAATAGACATGATTTTAATGATCCAGGATGAACCGCTGCCGATTAATGTCTCTTGTACGTGTAGCGCTACCTGGTGGGTATATTTTATAATGGATTCGGCCTTTTGTATTGAATTTTTCTGATTTGCAAAGAAGTTGATGAATATACAATACCTTCGAGACCTTTTTTTTGCGTTTTCTTACTTTTGCTGCGGAGGTACAAACGTATGCAGAACCTGGAAACGCCTTCTTTACAAAAATTTTCAAAGCAGTCTTTTGAAAATTCATCTATCAAAATGTTAAACGCAAGAATGATCTCAATTTTCCGTTATGGAAATATGGGTTGAAAGCGTTAAGATTTACTGTTTGTATCAGAATTTTCGTGCAAAGCTACACAAGATCTTTCTACGCATATTCGTCCCTAATTTTGAAGCAATGGATACATATATATAGTCAACAGCACCCACCACCAACTTATTGGATACTTTTCTCTGACCGAATAGTGGGGTGTAAGCCTTTACCATTATAGTACACCCACGGCCTCAAAGTGCTGAGCACGTTTTAAAGGCAACGAGCCGCGAATCCTGAATCCTCGGACTCATAGCCCGATCCTGTTAAACCACTAGGACATGTCCGGTCCGAAAGTGTTAAGAACATACAGAGTTTGTCATTCTTACTCAAAACATTAATAACCAAACAGGGTCCAAAATTAATGTGTGAAGCAATAAACAACAAAATTTTAATTACTGTTAAAATAATTAATTAATTTCCAAATATAAAAGGTGCTGGTGAAAAACAAAACAAAAACAGATTAATGAACAACTAAACTTAAGAAATGTTTTCAAAGCAGTCGTGAGAAGTAATTCGAAACATAACTGTTTTCTAACACTTTTGGTTAATTTATGTTTGAGTTACATAACATATATTTTTAAACAACATACAGACAGTTACGTAGCAAATGGTCATAAATATCATCTATATTGTGATAATCATATAAATTTAAAGTTCTGTAAAAATTCAAATAAAGAAAAACATAGGTTGAAAATGATCTGGGAAACGCGGAACGTCATTGGTTGTTTATTGATCCACTAACAACGCATTCAAGTTATGGATTGTTGGTTTGTTTGTTTTGAATTTGAAAAACATAGGTTGAAAATGATCTGGGAAACGCAGAACGTCATTGGTTGTTTATTGATCCACTAACAACGCATTCAAGTTATGGATTGTTGGTTTGTTTGTTTTGAATTTGAAAAACATAGGTTGAAAATGATCTGGGAAACGCGGAACGTCATTGGTTGTTTATTGTTCCATTAACAACGCATTCAAGTTATAGATTGTTGGTTTGTTTGTTTTGAATTTCGCGCAAAGCTACATGAGGGCTATCTGCGCTAGGCCGTCCCTAATTTAGCAGTGTAAGACTAGAGGGAAGGCAGCTAGTCATCACCACCCACCGCCAACTCTTGGGCTACTCTTTTACTAACGAATAGTGGGATTGACCGTCACATTATAACGCCCCCACGGCTGAAAGGGCGAGCATGTTTGGTGGGATGCGGATTCGAACCCGCGACCCTCAGATTGTGAGTGAGCGCCTTATCCACCTGGCCATGCCGGGCACATATTCAGTAAGATCTATCATTTGTTGTTTTTTTTT